TCCAAGACCGGGCATACAGTCACGGCACCCGGACGTAACTTTGCATACTGACTCTCGCCCCACTGCAGTAACCCCTTCCAGTTCCCAAAGCTCAGGAAACAGCAATGTAGGATGAGCACACGAAGCTGGGAGGCCTTTGAGGCAAGATTTTTAGGCTCTACACCAAGTGCCCTTAACAGTGCAGCAAACAAACAACTATTCTGGTATCTTCCTGACCATGAGGCAGTCACGTAAAAGCTCTAACATACGTCATCGTTTTTCTGACCACCTAACGGCTGTTCTGCAAGCGAGCATTCTGCACAGTGTGAAGGAACAGGCTACACGGGTAGAAAGAGATATACTCCAACTTGCCTAAAAGCACACCCATACACCACAGACTGCAGGGAAAATACTGAAACTGCTTTCACCAGTAGCATCTATAGCACACCTAGATCGTGGATTTTCCTAAAGCCCTTGGCAGTCCCACTTCATCAGTGGAACAGTCCACAGCAACTACAACAAAACTAGAATCCATTACGAGGTCCTCATACAGCTGTCCATCTGCAAAAACATGATCTCTTGTATGACTATGTCTTTGGAAGCCAGAAAAAAGCCATTCACGCTGACATTCAGTTGGCAGTCCGCTCGGCCAGCTCTCCTTAACAGAGAGGAAGCGTTTTTGTTTGCACATTTGGTGAACTAAGCAGACTATAAACACGTGCTGTTTTAAAAACTACTCATGTGACAGAGATTTCACTTACCCTTTCATATACTTCCACAGGTACAGCAAGTGTGACCACAGGCTGGGGACCTGGTGTTCACCAAGCTCCGCAGGCCCTCGGAGGTGTCCTGAGAGGCGAATGAAGGGCTGCCGCTTGCAGCCTGCGCTCAGGTAACTGTTCTTCAACAAGCACCTCCGCTGAAGTCTCCCAAGCGCTTTCAGGAGCTGTGGCCACCCCAGGGCCCAAAAGCGGCAGGATCGGACCTCGGGAGCTGTGCAACGCTGTCCACTGCATCCAGGTCTGACAGGACGGAGGGCACAGAAGCACCCTTAGCTGGGTCTCAGCTCTGCAGCTGAGCACTGTCCTCTGATCAAAGGTCACTCGGGGGTTATTTACTCAGAACAACTGTCACACCCACGTTGAAAAAAGGTAAAACCATTACTTTCCATCATAAGCGGAGTGGCATGAATGCTACTGGGAATCCACTGCCACGGAATAAGCAAGTCAGAGCTTTTGTTTGCCTCCTCCAGGTTTCAGGCAAAACGCATTCTTCCTGCCAAGCACCAGAAAAGAGTCGGGGGGGACGGGGAGGACTACTTAGCTTCTCAAAAGTACTGTTAAATTCCTCATTTCTTCGTCCAAACGCGACAGCTGTTTGCTGTGCACAGCAGGGCTCACTGTAGTCACAGCAATAGCTAAGCACAGAGAGAAAGGCCTGTGCCACCTCAGCCAAGTAATTCTTAGGCTGTAACTTGCGCTGGAGACAAAGCCTGCAGCACTGCTCTTGCCTGTCTTTTTTCTTCTAACGTGCCCAGTCCCTATATGCATTATCCTGCAGCAAAGGGAGGGAGACAGTCAGTTCATCGGTAGGCAAAGGAAGATGTTATGATAGTATCTATCCAGTTATCATAACCTTTAAAAATGTGGGAGGAGGCTATAGATGGTCTCTTAAAGAAACAGAGAAGTAACACGTAGAAGAACGAGGAAGAATTATTTTTAAGAGACCACTATAAGCAGCCAGCTATAGCCCATTATCGTTGAAGGTGAGATGAACTTGTGAATTCATCTTTAAAAACTAATTTAGATATCATTTAGTGCCTTAACCTTTGGGACTGGATAAGGAAAATGTTAGGTTCAGTTTTCTTCATGTTCACCTCTTAGTTGGATATCCTACAGATTCTCCTGCAAAACATTTTCTCCAGGAAAATGTCTCCTTGCGCTTAAAAATCGATTCCGGCGCAATATTTTTACACGGACAGTTCTGCTCATCTGAAAGGTTACAAAAGCTCATTTTTAGAAGTTCCATTCTAAATTAGGACAAATTGGGAAATCACAGAAAAGAACAAAGTATCTCATATTTAGATCTCAGTGTAAAAATTAATGTCACAACGCAGACCCTTGCATTATGTGACAGACAGCTAAATGCTTACTTCATCGTGACCATCATCTTAATTATCTCATACTACATAAGGTGCACAAGATCTGTCTCATCTGTGCATGTTCCAAGGCTGGCTCTACCTCTGTTGCACTGAGCCCTCACCTCACCAAGTCTGCAGGGCAGGAAGGCTTGCCTCCTTTCTCTACCAGACAGCTACGCTTCCCTCAGAATATGTATGTGGTTACAAAAAGGGCACAGACCAAGGATCAGCAGTCATATCGATCTACTGGATAAGTCCCCCCCTCACCCCCCCCCGGCTGACATTAAACGCGTAACAAAAATGACCTTTCCCTTCTGGAGTTTGCTTGTCACTAGAAGAATAAATAATCAAGAGCAAAAATCCCATTCACATGAGCCATGACCTTCACAGCGAAAGGGCGGTACGCTTGCAGAAAGAGTTCCTTGGGGTGTTTTTTTGGCTCACTAAGGGCTTTATCCTTCAAGCGGCAAATCCCTTTGCTCCTGCTCCAGCCGACTGCCAACAGCCTTCACATGGATTACTTGTACAGCATAAAGACGTTTTCCTGGCCCTGGCATTCTGGCAGATGTTTTCTGGATTCTTGGCACACTGCACAACTAAAACCCTAGCACCTAACAGACCACTGAGTCATGCCAACAGAAACCCCGCTTTCGCCCCTATAGGATTGCAGAGACCACAGTCCATTGTGCAAAGATTACTTTTTTGCTTTGTTGAAGCAGCTGCTGCGATTACTGACTTTGCAGCTATTATGACAGTAATCCCCAGCTTCCCCTACTGCTCTCCCTTCTTTATTAGTACCGTCAGCTTTGAAAAAGCTTTGTTATTGTCCCTTTTGAACTTGTCTGGTAGTTTCCAGCTAGCTCTCTGTACTGACCGTGCAATGCAATTGCTATCACAGAAAAGAGGCAAGGAAGGAAACAACTTAAAGCAACCAGGTTCAACACAAGGCAGGATCAGAACCTGAGACCAGAAGGGCTTCTGAAACCAACAGGAGTGCACACTTACTGCACAGAAATTGATACTGCTGCCATATTCAAAAAGGCAAAATAACAACAATCGCCAGTGGCAGCATTTGCACATGCCTTACAGTTTAGGAGAGTGTTTAACTCTGAGAAATGTGACTTAATGCTGTGGGCAGATTATCCTACTGCAGGTAATTTCACAATTGCTTGCAACCCACTTGGTACTACCACTTCTATAAAAAAAGGTACTCAACAAGTCTACGTTCCTATATTCTCCAGGCATCCTGAACAATTGATTTATGCTTCGCACGAGCCACCGCAGGCCGGTTACTAACAGGAAAACGGATACAAAGGCCCTGTTCTGATGCCTTAACTCAAATGTGCTCAACAGCTCCATGCACCCAACCATTTCTTCACTATTTCACTAAAGGTAGCAGGGGTAACCTTTACAGCCAGTGACAGAAGCCGATTTGAAAATTATGATTTGACATAAAACGTAACCTGTAGAGATTTTCATTTACAGCTCACAAAATACTCTACCAAAACAAATGCCACTAATGTGATTTTTAGAATGGAGGAAACTCTGAAGGGAAGAGACCAGCCCTGAGCTTTATTGTATGCACAAGCAGACAGGCAAGAATTCAAACCACCTGATTTTTAGTCTTCTCATTCAAGTATTTACTACCTTAACTACTTGCTAGGCCTTCAAAATCATGACACACAGATAACCGGGCTACATAATCATAATGCAATTGGATTACGCCCCTGCATTTCTGGCAAGTTGCCGGCAGGACCTTCAGTGTAACAAAACTTGCCTTGATCTGAAGTGACTGCACATACATTGTACAGTTGGGAATTTCACATACACTCATGAATGGGTTTTGCTGTATTTTATATTTCTCCGTAAGAACATCTTAAACAACTAACCCTGGATGCCAAAGAGAGCACTTGTGTTCTATGCTCTGCTATGTATGGGCACTAAATAAATTCAGTGCAAGGAAGATGGTTTGCATACTAGATATGCCTCACTAATGAAGAATTTTGTTCTTCATCAACTAGAAGAAAAGAGACGTTGACATTAAACAATTATAAACACTGGAAAACACCAGAAGCTTCCAATTTTTGCCTTTCAAGCAGATCTAAGCGTGGCAGTAGCAAGGATGCTTTTGCAGGCTTTTGTCCCAAAGTTAACACAGCGCTCAAGGCAAGTCCTTCCTTCTGGAGTCATTCCGTGGCCCCCATAAACACATTTCCCTGGAATTCTCCTTTTTGGCTTTCAGTGTTTCATTTTCCAAGACCCCAAGAACGACCATCTGGATGAATAACATTTAAAAACCACAGACTGCGTATCAGATGCCCTTGAATATGGTTGACCTAAGCCACCAAAACCACTGCCAGTTTCTTCACATGCCAGGGAGTCCCACCAGCAAAAAACTGAGAGACTACCTGCTTCAAGTAAGGACAGGGCATAAGTGTTCCATTTTTACTGATAAAGGAAAGAGAGAAGGAATGAAAAATTGTGTGAGTTGGAAAGTGAGACTATTTAAAACTGGGGAGGGAGAAGAGAGAGGAGACAGAATTTCCAAGGAAAAGCAGTCAGCAGAGTGAGAACAGAATCAGAAGCAGAGGGAAAACCAAAGTGTTTCCTCATGAATACAGAAAAAAAAGCAGGAGGGAAATGAAAAGAGAAAGAAAGCAATACAGTAGACAGGAGACAAGGGAAAGGAGCAACAGAAGCTATAAGACTTTTCCCGTTTCCCAGTGATAACAGCCACAGCCATAGAAACTTCCAATATAGCTGCACTGCAAAAGTTTTTAAAAAAAAAAAAAAGCACAAACTGAGGAAATTCCTATAGCATTATATATTCTTCCAACCACTTGTCTTTCTTACTACTGTACACCAGAGTTGTTCTGGTTGCTTCAAGTGCAGGACTCAACCAGTCACTCACTGGACCAGCGCGGACAGAGTTTCTGGGGTTTGAGCGCCGCGGAGCCGAGGCTCACCGCTCAATTCTTCCTCCTACAGCACCACAGCAGCAGCCAGGAGACGCTCTGGCTGTAAAGAAGCCACAGTCAGGCAGTAGCTCAGGCAGGGTCCCAGAACTGCATTAAAGGGGACATCTTTCAAAAAGTAATAGCTCAGAAGAACAGTGGATGAAGCTTCACAGGACTGAACCAGCAGAGATTCATAACTCAATCTTTCAGTAACAGCACTAGAGTTGGCAGACAGAGCATATGGCCTAAGTCCTGTAAAAGAACTAGGATCAAAATGTCCGCTAGGTAAGCCAGTATTATTCCTGAATTTACTTTCAACAAAATATTGTGCAGAAATTTTGTGGGACTTTGGACTGACCTACAAGTCGCAGTAGCCACTACTTTGCTTGCATCAATCATTTTCAAATCAACAGACCCAAACCCTAATTCTGTTTCTTTGATGCTGCTTGCAGAAAGGAAACCTCCAAGCACTACCACTGTATCATTAACTATTATCCTGCTCAAGATCTGAAAAGCATGAAGACTGTAGCTCTCGTCATTTGTCTTGCGGGATCAGCTTTGGCTATTCCAGTAAGTCTTTGCTGTTCTATTCTGACTGTGCATTTGAACTTCCACATATCGTGAATACTTTATATTAATCCATTGAACTGTACAAGATTTTTTTTTTAATATGCAGATTTTTAATTTAATTGTCTCTTCTAGACCTATCCCTTAATATACAAGCCTGGAATCCATGGACAAAAAACTGCAGAAAAGGTACTTCTGTTCTTCTTTTATTAATAAGACTACCTACACTATTGATCTCAAACAGATAAAACACATTATCACAGACACATTGGTTGGAAAATTAGTTAAGGTTAAAACAAAAAAGTCAAGTGCCTCTCTTTCTTGGGAATTATTACAAAACATCTCACGCCTCACACATCACAGCTAGCAGCAGAACAGCACGGAATCTAAAGCTTACAACAGAAAATTTCGCTTGTTTCAAGAAATCCCCTTATAAGAATTTCTAAATGTAAACATTGTATCTACATATCTATTGCACAAATAAGAAGCTATACCAGCAATCAAACTGGTCATCACTTTTCCAGTAAACTAGGAATGTACAATCCCCAAATCATCATGTACTGCATAACCATATGCAGTCTTAAACATAATAATTTTATCTACCACAGCTTTTGTTATTTACTTTATGCAGCACTAGACAGATACGCCTCCTCGGTGGAAAAGTATGCTGTGGCTAACACACCAGATACGCAGCTCTGATGATGATGGGACAGACAACCTCAACAGCACTATGCCATGTATGCAAGTTAAGGATAGCGCTCATATTTTTTGTGTTTATGGTTGACCCAAATCAATTTTTTTTTTTAATTAATGAATCACTCTGTTGAGCATCTGTTGTTCAGATACAATAGAGCTTGGCTCCAAGCCAAGAAATATTTTGTAAAAACACAATCCAGACCATGCTGTACAGAATCATACGCAACATCACAATTCTTTTGCTTACCTTTTCTTAGTGAATTATGTCCCGCTCCACACCATTTTCCAGATGTATTTCATGCCAATCCAGATGGTGCTCTGCATTATGAAAGACAAAAAAGTGACATTTCCTATTGTTGAAAGTATGCAGCAGAACAAACTATGGTATAAACTTTTTTCCAGACAAATGCCAAGATCATAGCAAACAATTTGCAGCTTACAGCTGTCTCCCAGAAACAATTCATACAGAAGACACCTGCATCAAAACAAATCACCACAACAGTAGTGTCAGGTGAAGCACCAGTTCCAAGTGAATATGCAGCCACTTGTATATCCCAGGCCACTTGTCCCCTAACAGTAGCCAATTACACATACATTGACTAAGATTTTTGTCATTATATTAAGAAGCCCAAGTATCTTTGCAGTAACTGAGTCCGAGAAGGTTTCTTCTACCCTAGACATAAAGGTATAACAAAAAACAAAGGCTAGAAATCATATCCAGGCGCACCTAAATTGAAACTGTAGTGCACAGTGGGGCTTCATATCAAGACAGAAGCCACAGCATTTTTCTTAAAACAAACAAACAAAAAAAACACTGGTTCATCAAAGAGATGCAACCAGAAGAGATGATATCAAGGAACGCTGGACCTTGCATTTCGCAACACTACAGAACTAAAAGTCCCCAACAGATTTTCTATTAAACAAAAGAAAAATCCAAAAATCCCAGTATTTTTTAGATAGCAGTGCCAAAAAAATACAGAAAAAGAAAACCACTCATGAAATTTGATTTGTAATTCACCTTGAAATTTTGTAGCAGAGAGATTTCACTTTGTGTTACCTTCAAGGAAGTCACATTCCATCTGGAAAACCTTTTGACTGAAATTCTGTTAGATTTCAGTGAACATATTCTTTTCATTAAAAAGTTAGGGCTGTAAATTACGTAGTGGATATTTTGCTTTGTACTTTTTCTACATCAGGAAGTATACTAGGAAAAAGATAAACTCTCATAAAAAAAATGTACATACCACCTTGACATTAAGAAATTGGGTACAGTTGATCTGCCAAAGAGCCAAATAACTATTTTTAATCCTACAGTATTTAGTCTTTGTTTCAGAGGAATCTGACTCTGCTCACACTAAAGGGAGCGCTTCTCCAGCAACTTGGGAAATTATAAATACTTCCACCTTCAGGAATAACCCCACTGAAAACTTCAAGGAAAACCAGCGTCAGGTGGCATCTTTATTAAGTAATAAGCAACACTGAAAGTCCATAGGTTTAGTACAGAAAAATATCAGATGTTCCTGCTGCCTATAGAAGATGTGAGTGCCTGTACTCACCCAGCAGCCACTCTGACTGTCTAACGGCAACAGAAAAGGAATCCCTGCTGCAAGACATAACCATCATTTTACAACTTCCTCCCTCCTCAAGCGTTCGATCCTTTTCCAGTGAAATTAGTAGCTTTGATTCTGTCTTCACAGTATGCAAAAAAACCCACTCAGCAAGCACCTATGACTCCTGCTAGTGAGCTTATGAGACAGTAGCAGTGTTGCCACCAAATACAACAGCTCCTGATTAAGTCAGTACGAAGTAACAGTGTATCAGATCCAATGTGGATCAACATGCTGATCACGAAATCGTTAAAATGCGCTTCACCCCTCAGGAATTACTACCACAGTACCTTGCCAAAGGCACTCCTTTCTCCTCCTTTTCCAGGCCCTCTATTTACCTGTGTAGGAAGATAATTAGTATCCCTCCCTTCCTGAGATAAGTGGTAATTACTGCAGCCTAAGTCGGGTGCCTGAAGTTGACTCTAAATTTTTAATTAAGCACTTAGACTGAGCTTTCACAAGACACCCATACACATCAAGCTCCTATCAGATCATGAAGAGAATGGCATAGACTTTTTCAGAAACTCCAGGTGTTAAAAGAAAGGGAGGGGGGGGAACTAATGAACAAACTTGCTGAGAACCCAAAATGACACTGACTGGGAATTTCGTGCTCTGAATTAACCTATTGAAGGGAGCATTTATGACCAAAAAGTGCAAGTGCAGCGTCATAATGTGCTGCTTTCAATATAAGGCAAAAACTGCATTGCAATGACTTGGAATTGATTAGAATAAATTTGCAGATTTATCAATCTACTTGTTAAATGCTTTATTTATTTGTTTTGGAAGGCTCAAGATATTCATTCTGAGGTCTCAAAGGAAGAGAACATAGAGTATGTAAACAAGGGTCATCTGCTGTCAAGTCACAGAAACAAAAATAAAGAGGTAGCACTAACAGACACTGAGCACAGCGATGAGCCCAGGCCTGCTAAAACACAGAGAAGAAGTGGTAGCGAGCATGAAGCAAAAAATAGCCTGAAGAGCGTTAATTTCCTTTCGCTGAGCATTAAACCAGGTTTGGCTGCTTCTGCCAAGCCAGACAGTGACTCTGGAAGCAGCAGCAGAGAACAGCTCAGCTCTGAATATTACCAGTTCAGAAGACATGAGAATCACAACAACGAACAAGTTGTGGATGATGAAGAGAATCCAGTGGATGCGCTCAGTGAGCATAACACATGGAAATATAATAAAAATACAGTTGGCCTATCTGAAAACAACAGTGAAGGTGATGAAGAGGAAAAGGTGGAAGAGGAAGAAGAGGAATGGGGTGAAGAAATTGACCACAGAGATATGAAGCACAAAATCCATCTGACAAATCAAGACAATCAATACAAAAGACAGCAAAATGAAGACAGTAGGCAATCTGATGAAATCATGAGAGATTCCATTCAGCCACTCCGGATAACCAAGAGGCATGGTGAGAAATTTGATCGAGAGGAGAAAGAGAAGGACAAGACCTATGAGAGGGGAAAGCCCTATGAAGGGGAAAAAATCTCTCTCTCTCAAAAAAGCAGTAACCAAGATCAGGATGACAAACAGCAAAGCCAAGAAGGCAAAGACAGTTCTCACGTAAACAATCAGAGTGGTCATGAAACAGTGGTGGAAAGACAGTATAAGGAGGACAGTAATGTTGATGATGACGATCATGATAGCGGTGATGCTGATGGTGAGGAAGATGTCAGTAATGTCTGGAAAGAAACAACCTACGAGGAAGGTGAAAGAATCCAGGATAACAATCCGGGAAGCATCAGCACTGAGCAGGATGGGGAAGGAACCGATGAAGATGACAGTGCAGTTAGTAGAGATAACAGTGATTACCAAGATGCCAAAATTAAAGATTTTGTTCACTTTGAGGAAGATTACCACCATCATGAGCCACCTAATTCTGACAGCAAGGAACAAATGGAAACAAGCAGCTCTCCTCAGAGTGTGAATTCAATGGAACCTGAAGATAAGGTAAATCTTTGTAAAAAATAAATAAATAAAATAAATAAAGATTAAAAAAGGGAAAAATGGGTCCTAAATTTAAGTGCCTGATGGTTAAAAGAACATTTTGGAGAAAGAACAAGTCTAAAATTACCTTAAAATTTTGGAGAAGCCTCATCTCCTCTTACTCATTATTCATCCGGTTCACGCTGTGTCACTTCACGTAAATAATTTAGATAAATTGGACCAGAAAGTGAGCACAACTCATGGAATGGCTGCAGCCCCAATGGACTGTGTAATGAAGCATACGTAAAAATATGTATACATGCAGCATGTGAAATGTATACACATATCAAAAACCTGGAACCCAGTCTCAACCTGACTAGAAAGGCCTCTTCACACTCCTCTCCCAAAGGATCTTAAACACTTTCATACAAAATTAAGTAGTTTCAAAAGGAAGGGATAGAGTTCCCAGAATAATTACCAGCCTGGTAGTTAGGTCACCCTTACACAGAACGAGGGATGCGGGCTTAAAACCTTCCAGATGAAGGAGCATGTTGCATCCAGATCCCTCATATCCTGGTCAGACACTAGATAAAAAGGGGACTGCCAAGTGCTTTGTTTTGTCAGGAAGGAGTGACCTTTGCTATGGCTGCTAAAGAAAAATCTTAATCTTTAGAAAAGGATTGGACCTGTCAATCTGATGTAGGGCAATAGGCACCTCCCCACAGCACCAAAGACGGAGCAAGACTGGGGACACTTCTTCCCATTCTCTTCTTAGCTTCCTTCGTTTTAGCTGGGGGACTTACCGTGCAGCCTTTCCTAAGCACCATTTACAGGCAGCCAGTGCTCACTGATATGTAAGGATCCCAGATGCTAAATAGGGGTTGAGGTTAGCAAAATTTGTAAGCGTTTCGAAATCAGCCACTATACTACTGTATATGAGGTACTCCAGAACTACTCGGAGTCCAGGCCCTCCTGGACTCCTGTTTCTCTCTCCCTCCCCCTACTTCCCCCTCGCCCCTGAAAAGAGAGCCCTCATATCATCAGAGTTGTTACAGACCTCTCATGTTTTGCATAGCAACCTCTTTCTGCCACAAACAGAGCAAATTCTGTCCCCGAATCAGCTCTAGAGTTGCACCTGAAAAAAAAATTTTCTCTCGTTTTTCCTTCCAGTACTTACCACAATTTCTGCTTTTGTTTCTGTGACTTAAAGGTTAAAACTACAGGCAGACCATACAACGAGGGGGAAAGCGCAAGCAACAGCAATGGGAAGGCTTTACTGGGTGAGTAAACTGCACATGGAGCCCTTACATAACTGCTAACTCACTGCAGCTGGGCAATCTGCTGCTCTGCATTTCTTTTCTGTGTTTGGCAGCATGCAATTTCACATGACTGAACTGTGCTTGTGCACAATCCTGTATCGCACATATGTTCCTCCCAGAGAAGAACCCCTTCTCTATACCCTTGAATTTGCTCATTTGCTTCTGATAAAATTGATAGCACAGATTTTTATGTCAGCTTTACAGAAATGGCAGTTATCTTCCACTGAAACCCCTCAGCTGAAGAACACTAGCTTGAATTAAACTAGGAATGGGTAACACATCTTGAATTCAGCAAGGACATAAGAACTTGCTCCAAACATAAGGCTGGAAATGCATGCCTGCCCTTAAAAGTACCACCTTACTCAAACTTTCAAAAGCGCTTGAGTTCTCGGTGAATACTTGGCTCTATTTTTGTCTTGACTGTCAAGAATACTTGCCACAAACAATGGTTTTGTCACATCGTCTCTAACAATCCCTCCTGTCTTGATCTCATTGCTAGATCCTTGTAGGAACTTCCACTGCAAAAGAGGAAAAGTCTGCTATGCAGACAAACAAGAGAAACCCCGCTGTATTTGCCAAGACCCTGCTGCTTGCCCTTCAACTAAAGATTATGAGCATGTAAGTATTCCATTCATTACACACCACGGGGGAAAACCAACTACAACGCTTACAAGATATCACGTTCCCCGGCATTATTTAGAGGAATTCTACCCTAAAAAGCATGTAAGTGGGTTTCAGTGATTTTAGTAATTGTAACTCTAGATATAGAATACCAAAACTTACGGATTGTTGCTTCAAAAGAGTATAAAAACACGCAGCTACGAAGTACTTGATGTGATTTGCTTCAATTACAATCACTCAGTGAATGCCTTATTTTTCTGTCACTGAAAGTAAAACGCATCTATTTTATGTTTCAGAGCATATACCAAATACATGCACACACAGGTATATAGTGTAATAATCCTGTAGCAACTCTACTCAACTCTATGCTAGTAGCGCATAAGAATAAATTCAAACGTCTTGAAACCGGGTGTCTAACTACAGCTACCTAATCCTTATGTAGGCACGTAAAAATAACTAGGATTTTCAATACTTCTGACCACATGAAATCTCTGTGGGTATTCACAAGTGGTACACTGCATGGCAATGATTCTTTAATTGTAACGCTCTATTAGTGACCCAACAATTTTTCTGAAAATGGTGGTGAGGGTGGTTTGATTTTAATCCTGTTTTTAGGTTTGTGGCACTGATAATAAGACTTATGATGGCACATGCCAACTGTTTGGCACAAAATGCCAACTTGAAGGGACAAAAATGGGACGCCAGCTGCACCTGGACTATATGGGATCCTGCAAATGTAAGGCTTATGCTTGTGTGTATTTAATTTACCTAGGTATAAAGAGCCAGTAGACTTAATAAGCATGAACTAGTCCTAATTTATCTGCTTCCTTCCTGTACTCTCCCTCTTCTGCATCAGTTATCTGCTAATTAAAACTGGCTTCCAAACAGTAAATATATCAGACCAGTCGCTTTTTCCTATAAGTAAGGGCATTAAGTGGCCTAGTCCAAAGACAATTGCAACAATCTAGTCCAAAGACAATTGCAACAATCTGTGGCCAACACTGCTCTCTCCCCGCTGCAGTCTTACACATTAATATGGCTCCTACTGCTATAGCATCTGAGCATTCCATTTTTTAATGTATTTATCCTCATAAAGAAAAATAACATCCATTTTATAGATGAAAAAGTGAAATACAAAAACAAAGATCACAAAAATACTTAGATGCTAAATGCAGAACTCAAAATCCAACACCTAGAACTGACTTCACAGCTCTTGTTCAGTTGCCATGTACTCTTGGAGGGAAGTTAACTCACTTGCAGCCAGAGTATTCCTTAGGTGTCCAAACCTCTGCTTTCATGAAAGCCCAAGGGACTAAGCAGCATATTTACATCATATTCACTCCAGGATATCGGTCAGATGTCTAAGCCGCGCTGCTTAGACAGTCCTCAGTTGCGAAAGGTACCCAAAATAACGAGTTCAAAGCAAGCTCATATATGTCCACCTAAGTTGCAGTCACGTATAAGGACCGAACAGATTGGCTTAGTGGTTGATGCAAGATCACTTAGAGACTCTGTCCAAGTCCTCAATTCAGATTCCCTAATTCACAAATTGCCATCACAAGCAAGAAGTTATTTTAACTACACTGCTTCTGGCTTGCATGACTGGTTAAGGATCTCAACTAATCACAAACCATTTTAGATGTATAATTCAACCCCCGTTACTTGCATTCTCAATTTTATGTATTAATAACTATGCCAATTTAAAGCTGACGTGGAGAATTGCTCATGAGAGCCAAATCAAGCCTTCCCCAGAAATGCTTGAATGTCAGTTTTAGACATCTCCTGTTAATGAGAACTTTGTGGTTTGGAGCAGACATCCCTGACTGTACCGATTACGAAGTGGATCAGTTCCCTCTCCGGATGAGAGACTGGCTCAAAAACGTCCTTATGCAATATTATGAACATGATCTGGATACTTCTGGATTTCTAACTGAAAAGCAAAGGAGTAAAGTAAGAATCCGTTTTGAATTAAACCATTCAATTACACTGTTAGAGCTGGATGAGTCATCCTTAAGAAGTAACTTATATCTTAGAATTCTCCCATTTCTTATTAGCGTTCCTGTTAAGATTCTATATACTGAATTATACATAAGAAAGTCATAGTCAGCTGTGCTGTTTAGCCTCAGATACACAGGTTGCAAAATACACTTAGATTTCCCATCTCCAACATTATTAAAACAAACATTTCTGCTATGAATGTTCATTTTGTTCAAGTGAACATAAGCCAAACGTATCCTTTTTTTAAATGAAAGCTCACAGACAAGGAGCTGAAAATAGACTTTAATACAACAGAATAGGCACACACCTAGACAAACACAATTTGCTTGAGAAGAATCAACACAGCTTACGTTCAGGGAAGTACTTTGTGACAATTTCCTTGGAAAGATTAACTAATATGCAGATAAAGATGATGCAATTCGTACAATCAACCCCACTTTCCAAAAGACTTACAGAAACTAAGCAGCTATAGCATAAGGTAGGCGGTCTGGGAATGGATAAATAATTAACAAAAAGACAGAAAGCAGAGAAGAAACAACAAATTGCTGAGAGAGGTCACCCATGAAGTTCCACAGGTTGAAAGAACTTGTGCCATTCAACCTTCCTGAGTGACCAGGAAGAGGAAGCGAGGTGACAGAGTTAGTTGACAAGATGAAGGTATTAAAGGAATTAAGGACTTGGCCTCACTGTGAAGAGCTGCTAAAGGACCCTATGAGATTGATTGACTGGAGAGTAAAACAAACAAGATTCAACACAAATTTTCAACATAGAATTTGAGTGACATTCATGGCAAAAGGGGATCCTTGCCTATGACTCAACTAAAATAGCTGTTTTTTTTTTTTTTTTTTTGTTCTCGGGACACAACTTATGCTTTGCAATCAGTATAAATATATTTGAAAAATGGGTGAACAGTTATGGGTATTGTTTGCAGTTTTTAAACCCAGCTTCATACCCTATCAATCTACAGATATAAATTATGGTATGATAGTCAAGACCTATAAAATTATAGGGGTCTGGTACTCAGTTTCTAAGACAGAAAAGCTACACTCTACCATCCAGTAAAAAACTGCAGCATCACTTTGTATTGGCTTAAAATGGAACAGGCATCTATTATCATTGGACCTTTTATTTGAGAAGTTAATCATTTATGTCAAGTGAGTTGGTGACAGCAATGTTTCTGTAGATACAGATGTCACAACTGCCAAAAAAAATAACTAAGTTAATAACGCAAGTTAAATCAAGCCCCTGGCTGTTCTAACTTGGGAGTCAGAGAGGCACACAGCAGGTCACAACAGGTTTTTACAGAATACCCTCGAGGAACATTGAAGACTACTTCCACAATTCAAGTGGCACAATGGCCTACTGGGAACTTCTGATACCCACTGGTATGAATTAGATAACTTTCAGTGTGAAATGAATCATCTCAGAAGTTGAGTTGCTTGCCTCAGGATGAATGTTACACTAATATGACAGAGAGCTATCTTAGTCTCCTGCCAATCTGAGGCTATTGTCCTACTTAGCCAGGTATGAAGATTAAGTCATAGGAACTTCATTTCCTCTCCAGTTACTACTAAAGGTTATATGGGCACTAATAAAAATCTGCTGGGACACCTGAGACAAACTTTTCACGCAGCATACGGTCACAAACAATGAAAAACTGATTTCCTCAATGGTATTTTACCAAGTTTAATCTCTAAGTCACCTCCTTTTTGGAGAGCTCTTTTCCAGACATCTCTGCCACTACAGAAAAATCCATTCCTCTCTTGGGTTCAGGTCAAAAAAATCTACCAGAATGAAAAACGTCTCATGGCTGGTGACCACCCAGTTGAGCTTCTCCTGCATGACTTTGAGAAAAACTATCAGATGTACGTGTATCCTGTGCACTGGCAGTTTTACCGGCTTGATCAGCACCCTGCCGACAGGTAAAAGCTCTTGTCATATTCAGTTCTCCTTTGCTGCTTAAGCTAAGGCTGTTCTACTTTTCTAAGTTGGTCTAAATAGCCTCTACAGACGTGATCAGTCTCTCAGTTTATACAAGCTAGTATCTCCTCCTTTCAGGAAAGGCACTCATAAGCACAAAACTTGTCTGATTTTTATGCTGGAGACAAGTCTGAAGTCAAAGCCTTCTATCCTCTTGTCTTTCATAACCATGTATTACATCTTAAGCTCTCCAATTTCTTAAAAGTTACTAAGGGCCTAATCTTGGAAAACATGGCTCATGAGGTCAGGCTGTCAACGAAGCTAAGAGCAGCAGGGTAAACTACCAAGGGCAGAGGCCTGTCAGCAGTAGTAACGACGTACCCACAGTTTTAAGGTAAAGCTCAAAGAACTAAATACCACTAGCGTCACCATTTAAGGAACCCCCGCGCAGTACTACTTCAGAGGACTTCACCCAAATGTCAGGCCTTCAGCCATGATCCTCTTTGGTGGGCTAAAATTTCAAGGCTGGGGGCCCTGAAGGCCTCACGCTGATTATTCCTACCGCTTTAGAACACAGCCAAGCACCTTTGCAAGCTTGTTCTCCTTAAGGTCAGTAAAGAAATTACCCAACTGATGAATCACAAACAAATCAGTAATGCTTGTTCTCAAACAAAAATGATAGAGAACAAATAGTTTACATGCATGCTAGTTTATCAGGTATTATATACATCATCCTAATGATGCAGGACAGATTCACACAAATTCACCACTGAGGTGAATCTTCAGATGTGTTCCTGACCCCAAGAGGGTCAACTACTAAACCATTTCCCTACCACAGGCGACAGACACATATCCCGTTCCCCTGGCTGCTACCACAGGGGGTCATTTTGTCAAAGTGACAGCAACAGAGAGCTTGTGAAGTCACCTAAAGCAGCACAGCGGGATGCACCAGGACTTGTCTGTCAAAGCCACTGTTGCCATATTCTAGCAGCGCAGAACATCTTCAGTGACCCTGAGGATTTACCACAATACAGCTCTATGTACTCGCTCTTTCTTCCAGATTATTAACTCACTCGGAGCTGGCTCCTTTGAGAGCTTCTCTCGTTCCCATGGAACACTGCATAACCCGTTTTTTCCAAGAGTGTGATGGAGACAAAGACAAACTCATCTCTTTGAAGGAGTGGTGCCACTGCTTTGGGATCAAGAAAGGTAAACCAAATAGAACAGGAAGATACACAGGACAAAGTGTTCCTATTAAGACTAAGCAAAGTTTCAGATCACACAGTAAGGAAAAAGTTCTAGCCTGAAGTTCATAACTGCTGTTTACTACAGCAAATGGAACAGGGAGCAGGAATAATATACTGCAAGCGGTGCAGATTTTTTGGTTGGTTTATACAGATAAGCAGAGGTTGCTTTTCCATCAGGAATAACTTTGAAGCTCTTTTGTACTAAACATTAAATCATTCCTTTCTGTGGTGTCTGATCCTGTATGTTTTACCTGCCTCCTTCACTCCAAAAATAATGAGTTTGGTAGAGAACGCAGAGGAATGAAGAAAATGGTTCAAAGCCCTACTAACAAATCCCTAATTTTTACTGGAGGCTCATTCTGGTCAGAGGTCAGATATTCAAAGTCTTTACTTTTCCCAGATTTTTTTCCAGCTCTTCTGACGACTCCTTGCCACACAGTTCCAAACCACACATGGAAGTAAGCTGTCATGCGTTCTCATGACAGGCATGTACTGCTCCTAATGATTGCTTGTCCAAAGTGGCTTTTAGGATAAGTCATTTATAAAGGAAGGTGGGAGGGGAAGGGAGATTCTTCACTGGGAGGCAGCTCAAGACCTTCCACAAGAAAACGTGCATCAAAAAAGGTCACAACGAATGGCTCCTGAATGTGATATCAGCAACCATACTTGGTTTTTGTGGTACGAATAATGTTAAAATATCTGAGCCCTCTGAAATTCTGGTATATGGCTTTCTTCATAATGATACAGCATGAAATGTTTCTTTGGCATCAAGTATTCAAATGTTTTAGTGACATTTTCTCCTTCTCTGTTGCAGAGGACATAGACCAAAACCTCCTGTTCTGAGCCTGGCTGAACAGAAGCCCAGTGCTGAGCTAGTACTGGGTGAATATCCAAATCCAGTTTGTTTCTTTTATTATTAGCAGCTTAATAGTTCTGAGAAGAAACTATGAATAAGAAAGTTTGCATAAGGTTTTCATAGGCTGACAGAGTTATTGTCAATTAACACCAATGCACTCTACATTTGTTAAGAGCAGAAGAATTTAAGAACTCCAAGCAGTGCATCTAAACAGTATTTTCTTCTTCAGCAGCCCATAATCTCCCTGAACCAAGAAACAGTACTGTTTCACAACATTCTTCAGTAAATTCATGGGATCTAGATTGTACCATACATTGAAGAAAATGGCCTCGAAACAGAATACATTTCTTTTGTTATTTACTCTATTGTCAGTTCCTTAGCATTCTAAATAGATGCATAAAAGAAAAAAAATATAACTAGATAAGTGGATTTTGACTTTTGTTTAAAGAATAGGTATCAAGGCAAAGTTCAATGGAAATTATATTTTAAACTGATGAGAGGAAAAACTACAGCATGAAAAACCATGAAAAATAGTGTTTTTCAAATAAAAAAAAATCTCTGCTTCTGGAAAGAGCAGTAATAGTAACAACACCACACAGCAGAATTCCTGTTTATTTAGAAACTGTGTAACCAACTATTTATAGGAGCAGCACTCTGTGTGTGGGGGGGGTGGGGTGGGAAGAATGTGTGTGTGTAAAGACAATTTTCAACAGGTCCATTGTTACAGGATTTAGAGGATGTCACAGTTCGAGCACATTCTCCTGACTCTGATTTGCCAGAACAGACTTTCCTTCTCCCCACAGAAGCACCAGTTACTGCTACCATCTTCCTTAAGAAACAGTAACTTCCTTTCACCATTTCCCACCTTTTGCTTACCTGAAGACAGGCACAATTTATAAATGAAAAAAGGACAGTGCAAGTATATACGTGAATGCCACTAACTTTGTTACGTAAAGCCAAGCACTATACTCAAAACACTCCACATGTGCTATGTTGTAAGAAGGGGTCCTGACTGCTATTCCTGCAAAGGAAGATCAGAAAACACTTTTCACTTGAACTATGCCACCTTTCCAAAGAAAACTAACTATGACTCCGAAATCCACTTGCCTCCTGCTTAATTTGCTCTTGAATCAGTAGGACTCACAATCATAATGCTACTCCAATGGGGTGAGGGGGAAATAAAGAATACATCTATGAATGTTTTGAATAAGGGAACTCTTCATAAACGAATTATTTTCACACCAAAACCAACTTCACTGTAAATTGCTGCTGTGAGTCTCGTCACAAACTTCACATTCTGTAACATCACACAGCAGTTTATATAATTCAAACTGGTTTACATGCACGAGAGCATATTCTCTGTACTAATTGCACATAAAAAGACCCTTTCTGTGAGACTCAGCCTGAAATCTCTTAGGGAGGAAGTAACTCAGACTTCATTTTTTTGTCTGATCACAGCCTATTGCTTATTTACCCTTTCTATAGCCACGAGTCAGCCAGCTAAAAGCAATCACTAATAGTTCATCGGGCCTTTTATGAAAAAGGCTACACAAAAGGGACTGATCTGTTCTTCACAGAGAACAAATCCTACCATTATTCCACTCCAGCCAAGCTCTAGAAAAAAGTACAGCAAAATGGAATTTTATCAGCACAAACAGGGAACATTTTCCTTTCAGCAAGACAAGTTTTGCAGCGAAAACAACTGCCATCACCAAGACTATTGCAGCCCAGGAGATTTGAAGCACCTGGTGTATGAAACATCAAGTCAACATGCCACCTCTTTTTAAGTTCTCAGTTACGTGGCCACTTCCACATTTCTTCTGTGAGAACAGAGGAGGAGCGTTTGCTGATGTAAACATTGATAGATACTGTGATCAGCAATGTGCTACATCAGAAATTTTCAGCTGAGCTGTTACACTGTGCAAAAAAGTTTCACTTTTCAATAACTTTTAAATTCTAAATAGAATAAGAATTCAAAGTGAAAATTAGTTTAACCTATCAATATTTTAGATATTGTTACAACTTCAGTTAAGTTATATTTTAGTACTTATAAATGCTTAATGGCTTTAATACTATTGTAGTAGGTGTAAGTCAAAGATGTTTATCACTTATGACCTTCTGTAGGCCTGATTACTTCTACTTTGTTTTAATAAACAAATTAAATATCTGTTTATATATACATTTATACACACACATACACACACAGGTATGTATAGATATATATTATACACAACACACACAGTCATTGTACACACTTAGAGCATAGCACAATCTAATCTGTTGCAACTGGTTAAAATATGAACAGGACTACAAACATCTGAAATTCATTTTTATCCCATATTTCAGTTAAAACATCAGGTCAGTGTTAACTGAGAGGCAAAAAAAAAAAAATCAGAAAGCAGTAGAAATTCTTAGACAGGTCCATTTAGGGATATAAAAGATGCTTCAACCCAAACTGAAGATGGACAGCGTCTGGGATATTCCAGAGAAATACCTATCCGCATTTCATCTATTCTCATATTGTAATCCAAACCATCCACTGCTAGAGATATGACACCTGACCAGAGAGTCCTTAGCTCTGATACCGTATAACCAATGCTAAGTCCTTTGTAGATCACGTCTGTCCTCAGTTTCCAGAATTGTACATGTTAGAGGCAATCAACTTGGTTAATTACATACACTAATCCTCATTACAAGAGGTTCTTAAACATAAACAACACGATCCAATGAATCCAATTAGCTGTCATCTGTTGTGAGGCTGGACAGTCAACTCTCAAGGCAAGCACGAACTTAGTTGGGCATTAAAAACAGTAAAATAGCCTTAACGGAAAAACAGTTGTACTTTGTAGGGCTAAAGAACAAATGAAACATCAAACACCACAAATCAGGTTATTCCTCAACAATATATACAGCAATCTCTGATATCAAAACAAGCCTTGGCTAAGTCACATGCACCATTATGGTTTTTCTCCTCATGCCTTAAGATTCAGAGCAAAATTATAAAAAAGAGCACATGATATTTAGCACTGTCCACACTGCCATCAATAACTGTCTTGAGTAAGGACTCCTCAGCATTACTGAAGACAGCACAATCGATCTGGCTTCCAGCAACTGGCACAGAAGAGCCGTTTCCCAGTAACCTGTTCCACTGCGCTTAGAATTGCTCAGTTAAGCAAGTCCTCTGCACGCCCAGAAGTACAAGAATCTGACCCAACATTAGCAAATCAAAAGGATACAGCTGCCAAAGGGAAGTTTCCTTATTTCTTTTCACCAGCTTGGCACTCTGAATCTCCTTTTGAAATTCCCTGTGCTGTTCCCACTGCCTGATTTCAGCTGCTTCTTTGTTAGGTTTGATCCACCTGCACAGACACACGGCAGACCTAAAGAAGGAAATGCGGGAGACTACCACATTCTCCTATGGATTCTGACTCAATGAACCCCAACAGATGTGGGGTCACAATTTCAGTTTGTTGTGGAGCACAGCTTTGCCTAAGATAGCTCTCAAAACAATCCTTATACTAGGAACCCCAAACAGCTTTCTTCCTCTCAACACCGTTTCACATACTGAACAGGTAAAGAGCAGGTTAGAATTTACACACATTTTCCAACTATATCTTAAGCAAACTTCCATTTCTCTCTCTTTGCCCCCCAATAACCATTAGTAGAGTTAGATAGTTGCTTCGAGGATGGGGACTTGCTTTCAGATGAGCCAATAACTAACCTCCCAAACATGGAAGCTACGCTAGCACTGAAAATCCTTCAAAAAACAATGTTTCCTTCTTGCTTCTCTTTCATTCCTGTGCTTTATAACAGTTACCTACTGTGCTGCCTCGAAGGCAGTAAAATAGGATGCTTTGTAATACATGTTGGACTTCATCTTGCAACCTTATTGATTAAGCTGAAAGTAAAGATGTGATCCACCAAGCATATATTAACATCCTTGAAAGTATCTTCAGGGTGGGGAGAGCACGATGCTGAGCTGCTATCAATGGTCTGGAATAGAATTTAAAAGAACAACTTTGGAAAATTCCATGCTGCAAGACCCTCTCCGATAAATGTATCCATTTAATCTTTTAAACTACCAATTAAGTCTTTTTTATTAAAATATCACAGAAGGACAAAGTAAATGTGTGACTGAAAATGTATTCTTCACAGGCTTTGTTTTTGAATACCTTTTCCTTAACCCAAGTATATTCAGACATAAGAAAATGCAGCTCAAACTGCAAATACACTGCTGGCATACAGCTTACCTCACAAATTAGTGATTTTAATTCACAAGATCACATTTGTTGAGGAAAACTGAGCTTATTTTTGAAGTTTTAGCTCTCCTTCTCAGTTAGCAATTTCAGCATTTAACCTTGGTTATCACGACAGTATTTGCACAGCAACATTGAAGCAGAGAATCCCATCATCAGAAGGGTATCTATATTGAGATAGACAAAATAAAACATTCCTTTCATAACACATATGCATTTCCATTGCCAGAACTGTCAACCCTCCAAGGATTAGTAGGGGTCATAAAAAAAAGGCTGGCTGATTTATCAGATGAAAAGTAATTAAACTAAATCTCCAGTGGGTCTTAAGAAGGTATGATGCATGACGTCTTGTGGTTTTCCGATTTAAGCCTCAGTACTGGAAACCATATAAATACGCACACACACTCCAGTCATTCACACAGGATATCACAGGAGCCAGGTGACTTCTGGTCTGATCCACTGCCCAGCTGTTCAACATGCAAACCAAAGGTAATACAAAATGCTTGAGTGTTATCTGGAGTAAGTTTTAAAAATATGTATAATTTCTGGCAAGGCTGTATACTGTGCGTATGTGAAGGGGAAGGAAAAACAAGCATGTGAGAATTACTCAAAAATACCACGGATCTCCTGCCATTCCTAGTTAAAACAAGAAATTGCAAAGGGCTTCTACAGGCATTGTAAGGAAAATGACAGAAAAATAGCAAGGGGAAATAATGCAGACAGTGTCTCAATCAAAGCACAGGCCAGGCAGCAGAGAGTAGAAGCGTAACAAGCTTTATCCCATAATGGGTTATCGTTGACTATGCACGTGAGCAAGCAAGGTACAGAGAGGACACGTCAATTCAGGTCACATCATAAGCCACATTCAGAACTAGGAATATAGCTCCTGCTGCGTGGTTTTCCATTCTCTACGCTGAGAGGAACACAGTACTCCCTTAGATCTTTCCTTTTGCCAAAACAGTAAGTTGTAACCGTTTATTTTCAACCTATTCCACAGGTGTCTCTATCAAAACTCAAATCCTGTTGCTTTCTTGTCTTCTGAGTATTGCCTTTGCTCTCCCACTACCAGTAAGTGCTGAACAAGAAACTCAATAGGTATCGGATGTGGGACATCTTAACACTGTAAACCGGAAATTACAATTTTTTAACTGGCAGATCCTCCTTAAAAATATTAATTTGTTTGGTTCAAGTTGAAATGTGTTTATTATTCCCATTCTGAATTTATAATTTAAGATTAAGCCCTCAAACTTCGAAGGAAAAAGAAATAAATCATAAGCATCAGTAACAAGATCATACCCAGGCCATCAACAGGGCCTGAATTTCTTTCATTACTGATTTCAGCTGCCAATTTTCCAGATACTAATGAACAGTAAGCTCCCTTTTCTGACACAACTGCTTTTTAATAGGAAGAAAAAACAAATTCAAAACCACAGTAAAGTACTTGATAACATTTTTACAAGCAGGATGAAATATGCCTTACCCTAAAGGAAATTAATTCTTTTTTCTATAGCTGGAGAGCATGTATGAGCATTATGGTATAGAAATATCAGAGGTAAGCCTCCTGTTTATTATTTCACTAGTTCTGAATTTTATGTTAAACTTCTTTTTGGTACTTAGATGGCAAATAGCAACACAAAACTTTGTTTTTACAGAACTCAAACCCACTCTCTGAGTTTCAAGAGCTCTTTTCGCATCCGTCAAGCCCCTCCAAAACAACGACCTATCCGCCAAGGCCCCCCCAAAACAGCGTGGAATCCTGCATAGTTCCATTAATTGCTTCCTCCAGTGCAGTCTAAGGTAATAGCTATTTTATGTTACAAAAGGACAAAAGACTACAGGAAACTACATGCAGACGAGGAGCATTCCCACAGTGATACTGTGAGAGCATCCTCCCAAGAACAAATTAGCATAAAAGGGAATTGGGAGGGACTGTAATTAAAGTTACCTTTTAAGGCTTAGGAACTTTTTCAACTGGAATTCTATATAGTCAACAAAACTGCATCTAAATTCTTCTCTTTGGCCTATTTTACAAGAGTAGATAGGAAAACTATTTCTATAGCTTGTCCTCCCTTTCAGGCCCACTTTAGATGGAAGCTGAAACTATTACCCTTTGCGTTATCAAGTTTTCTGTTTGCTTGATAATTGGGGGTAAGAAGTCAGAAATCTTGACAATCATGCAGTTCTTTTGTGTCCAAGAAAAAAAGGTCACCATCTTCCCCAAATAAGGTTAACCACTTTTCCAGGAAGCAACTTCTCAGCACTGTAATGAAATCAGTGCCCTTAATATATATAGCACTCCTGTAATGGCATTTTTAAACATTTAGAAGCCTGCTGATACTAAGTCTGATACTCCATATTTACACTTATGGTATAAATTTAACTTGGCAGTAGAAATGTAACTTACTGGACTGGAATATTTTTTCTCTCCCCTAACCCACACCAACGGATTCCACTTCCAGTAAGACCAGCCATTTTTTAATGCAACTCATGTGTGTAACAACACTAAAGCCAGACATCACTGAGAAGGCAACTCCTCAAATGCGTTAAATGCCAGGCTTAAAAGTTAACAAAGCATTGCTACTACTAAGACACAGGCTATCAAGCCAAATGTACGAGACACCGCGTATTCTGAAGAAATGTCTTAATTACCACCACATTTTAGACTACTATGAGAACTTAGGAGTTAAAACATAATTTGAGCAAATCATTCCAAATGGTGACTTTTAGCAAAGCCTTTTTTCGTTTCATGTCATTAAAACAACTATGATTGTACTATTAAATATTTTAATGCCTTAATGACATTAGTTGTGCTATTTACTTCTTGAACTACTCCTAACCAAGAGGTTAATCAGAGTAATCTTCTTTGTTTTCCAACTGTCAAATTTTCAGTTCTAAGAGGTAACAATTGCTTTCTTAGGAACATTTCTTTCTTCTGTTAGGAAAAAGTTAACAGTTCTCTCAGAACTCCTGATACTATTCCTTGGATATTCCTTGAACATTGTCTTTAAGGTACCCCAATCCTTCAGGCAAGACTAGGTATCTTCTAGACATTTAACAAAGTAGTTTAAGACAAAAATAAGAGCAATAACAGGTCGGAGAAATAAGGGAGCAGCACAATGACATTCCCTACCATCATACATACCAAAAGCTTTATAACAAATCAGTTTAGTATACTAACCAGCTTAGTATACAAGCTAACATCATCCATAATAAAATATTTCAGAGAATATGCCTAACAAAAATGCAGCTGCATTTGCCTAGTTCTAACTTTAAATATCGCAATTACGCAATAAACTTGAGGATCCAAATAAGCATCATGGCTGGAATGTTGTAGGCCCTGTGCTCTGCATAAAGAAATGGCATTCTGTAAAGCATATCATGTAAGATCAAACATTCAAATTGCAAAGAAAATTGTCTAATGAGAAAGCTTTATTTAAAACAGAAGACAATCAAATATGTACATGCAGGTCCATTTACCTTGTCAAAAAAATGCTTTAATAAAAAAATGGTGAGTTGAAAAACTTCTCTTTCCAGGAATAACAGACTGGTCATGGAAACAGTGCAGTTTGTCCATCTGAGTGAGTACGGTACCTTCAGAATTACTGTATTTCCATGTTTTCATCCTTAGTATTGCACTTTACGTAAAGCGCTTCCTTGGAAACAGTAATGCTGAAGGAAAAAAAGGCATGCTGTCTTGACATGCCACAGTATAGTCACTCTTACACTCATCCATCATTAACTGCATATTCATCTTCCAGGAACAGAAAGAGGGTTTGCTTGGGTGGCCACATTTTCAATAGCTAGTTACGCTGCTAGTGGCATGCTTTATATGATGTATTAATTAAACATTGCAATAACAACTCCTATTAATTCTGATGTGCAGTTCTTTTCTCGTTCTGCAGATACCTGGCAAGTTAAGGATGTCTCTTTCGGAACGCCGCCGCTTCTAGATAATTTTCAAATTTCTACAACGCATTACCACTTTTAGTGTCACCAGTGCACTGGAAGCTGCAGATAAACAAGAACCAACTCCTTTGTTTCACACACATGCCTCTACAGCCTGTGTTGGAAACAGTGCACAATTCTTTCAAGCCTTGCTTCATTGCTTTTAAGCTTAATAAACACTGAGCATCAAAATACTTCTCTTAACCTTTTCTTAAGAAAAAACACACCCAAGTCCTTTCAGTGGTGCTGTTTCCAAAGACCAGGAGTAAGAAGGGAAGGGGGAATTTTTAACCTGGAAAAATTAAGGTTATTTCTTACGCAATTTGTCCATTTCGAGTTGCAGACACTCTCTCTCAGGTCTTTATCTTTCCCGATCAGCTATTATCAAGTCTCCATTCTATGTTTCTAAGGGCTGATACATGCCAAAAGGGTTTGCATAAGCAGCCACCAAATCTTATCTGTGAAGCTGAAGAAAGCTGTTTATATAAGGAAAGCCTACGGAAGCTTATACAGCAACGTAAAACGTTTACGCTGTTTTAGAAAGCCCTAGATGAAGCTCAACACAGACAAGATCAGCAAAGAATAAAAGGAAAATTGAAGTACCTTAACACTTAAATTTTTCTTTGCAAGTAGTAATCTATAAACATTAGAACATCCTCAGAATACCCATCAGGATACTCCTATCATCCTCCCCCAAATTTTATTCTCTAACTGGAAGGGAGGATAATACTGAAAAGGAGTAAGCCTTAAAAGCATTCACTACTTAAGTAGAATGGGTCCAATTTCAGTAATGCTTCAGAATTCACACTACTGAGTTATACAAGACGACTTAAGGCAGTTAACTTAATGACAGTTTTCAGCGTGCTATAACATTATCATCTCGCCCAAAATTCAGTAAGCCACCCCTGGCCCCAAGTTTTCAGTCAAAACTTCTGGTTTATTGGAATCAACCATGATACAATATAGAAAACACTACGTAAAACTTCTCCCTTGTACCATACAATTAGCAGCAATTACCCTTTGATTAGAAGCAACACGGGGAAAAACGTTGTACAACTACTGTCAGCATAAATGCCTGAAAATGCTGATGAACCAATAACATGAAGAAATAACGTGACACTCAAACAAGAAGTTGACATGCCTGCACGCTCCCCACAGCAGAGCATTTGAGGTTTAAGGAGATGCTGGATCTGATGGCAAAAACAGCTTCAATTCCTGTGCCCCCTGACTGAAAGTTACTGAAGTTCCTTAAACTTAAGAAAATTTGTAATTTAGAAGATTAGTTTAAGGCAGTTCATTCCAATGATCCTGTTCATAGCACAGCCTCCCAAGCAGCTGTACTACCGTAAGCATTGCGCAGAACACAGCACAGAGTAGGATGGAACAGCAAATGAAATTAACCTCTTCATCTGGCTCATCCGAAGCCAGCAGCCAAGTTACATTCTCCAAAAATAATATTTTTAAATAGAGGCAAAGAAAATATTTTAAACATGAGGAGAAACAGACACGCCCTCTTCCTGTATATTATACACAACTACTGAGCAGATCAAAAGAGAAAATAATAAAAAGGCATGGTCTTAAGACTTTTCAAGTTGAAAATCTACAGAATCTTACAGGTCAACAGCTATATGCTGAAATGCTGCATGCTGAAACTGCATTTTGAAAGGAAACACTGCCCTGAACTTAAGGGTGATCAGTGAGGTATTTAGAAAGCAACACTGAGTCCTACCATGCACTAGAGGTTAAGGCTAGGGATTTTTGCTGTTAAAACCATGAAAGAGAAATTCACAGTGAAGTTCAGCCCACACGTCAAAATGCTTCCAACACTCGTAATTACTAGTTATAGCAGACAACTCAAAAAGCTAAACCGTTCATCTTCGCATTTCAAGGTCAACATCGCTAAGCAAGAATGCTGCTCCTCATCAGCAGAGACAAGTGAACAGATTTCCTACAGGGCCTCTTCCAATACTAAATAAAATAGTCAAAATCACTTTAAGCCAGCTTTACTTTCCAAGTTAACAGGTACACAGCATGCGCACATTTGGTTAACACAGTTGAGCTGATAAGTGAAAAGGCCATTGATCCAGTCTCTCCATACACTAAAGTGCTGGTGAGCGCGAGCAAGGGTGCTTGTGTTTAACCAAGTAAAATTCAAGTATAAGCAAGGTATCCGGTCATGGGCCTATATTTTAGTCAATGCACGTGCCTGCATAAACTGTACACAGAGTTAAGATGCAAATTTGAAGACTGATTATTGCAGTAACTAAACATTCAAAATCTTTAACAGAATCACCTTTACCTAACTTTCACTGAAAGGTAACATGCAGTAAGTCCTTGTTCTCCCACTCTACGCATCTGGAAGCGTATCCCACTGTAGAGTGGGACAAACAAGAAAGGGTGAGATACCTACAGGACAGCAACCAGTGAGACCTTCCATTTAAGGCTCTTTCCCATGAACATTCACTGTATAGGACAGGTTCAGAAGTGACTACCAACCATACTGCACACTAGAAAACAATTAAATGTCAAGACTAATCTCTAGAATTAGAAAACCACTCCAAAGTCTTATGAAACCATTCACAAAAGAAACTACACTTTATTACGTAACATTCACATTACAGTAAGTGCTTATATCATCAGAGACTAGAAGTCTCACATCCCTCAATGATTCATGCTCCTGACAAGCAATCAAAGCAGAGATACAGAGCTAAAGTGACCAGCCTCTGAACTAGAACAGTTCAAAACTCTAACACTGTCATGCAAATCTAGAAATAGTGAGAACTATCTGGAAATAATTACAACAAAGGAGAATAAGATAACAGTTCAGCATCAGTCTCACTTCATACTAGTTGAAATCAAAAGAGGAGACTTGAAGTCTTCTACAAGTTTCCATTAGATCATGTCTCATTGCAGCCAGAAGTTCTGCCAGATATTTACCCGGAATATGAGCGCACAGCTGTACATTGTACACATTTTACAGAAAGTCATAATTATAGATCACTTCCAGCACTGCCTCTTGAACGACAGGTTTTGCCAGTTGATTTTTAGCATTGAACAGGACAATGTCATACTAGTTTAAATACCGGAAAACTGCTATTTCCTTTATGTGTGTCTTTTTCTAGTTTATATTTGAATTTCAGAAATATCATTCATGGTTCTCAGGACCAGGATCTTCACTCCAATGGGCTCCCCACTTCTCAGTCACAAGCTTAATGAAGTAGCTGTGATTTGCGTATAGCTTGAGTTTTTCACTGATGTCAACCCACTTCACTCTCCCAGCATCGTCACCTGCTTCCAGGGGCAAATTATCCATTGTCTCACCTGATCACAAAACAAAAGAGTTAGGACCTACTATTACATCTTCTTTCCTACTTTTCATTCTCAAAACTGACCACTTTCTCCTTTCTTCAAGGCTCTTTCGTAGGTAACCTTCAACTATTTCTCATATAAAAACTAATCATGCTTTTCACTAAATATGCTTTTCACTGACTCTGTACCAGAAGCCTTTCCCATACCTGCATTAACTATTTTAAAGCAAATTTGCACAGCAGAACCATAACTCCTTGCCACCACTCCTGTGCTCACAGAAACAGCCTGTTAAGTTACTAGAAATCAACATGATGACAGGCACTCGCTACACAGTCTAGCCAATCCCTCCAACTCAGATGATTTTTATTCTTCTAACTAGTGGCTTAGTGCTTCCTTTCTCAGGAAAGGCTTTGAACTCTGCAACTAAAATACGTTTATGCAAATCCACAATAATTAAAACTCTAGCAGAGCCCCAAAAGTTACAATAGCACTTAAGGGATGCAGCAAGTTTCTGAATTGCTTTAAGTTTTCAACCTCTGGTTTCCAAAGATAGCCCATGTCTTTTATAGGCAGCAACCAAAGAAACACTTGAAAAAGTGTTAAGCAAATGTGTATTAGAAACAAAGACCAAAGGCACAAAATCTTTATTATTCTTGGTGCTGTTAAATCAAAGGGCTAGCGGCATCTTCAGCATCACCACTGGTATCTACTAAACTATCCAAAGCACAGCGGAAATGTCCTTGTATGAATCCGGTGTTCAACTTCTACAAGATGCACCTAACTAGGTCGATTTATCTGAAGAGCTCAGAGATGAGAATTCTAGATTTGGGATGACTCTTAAGAGCATATAGGCATATACACCCATTACAATTTATAAGAGAAAAGTAAGGCAGAGTAACAAAGATGAAAGGTCTCTGAGAAAAAAAATTAAAACAAAAGACAAAAACATAGTCAATATCTGACAAAGGCCTGAGGCAGTGTTCCTGAAGCACACACTAGCTCCTGAAAGAAAAACTTAAAAAATCCCCGTATATCCTTCCTCTCCAGATTCATTAAAAAAGGAACTAAAACCAGCTTAAGCAAAATGCAGTAACAAGAAATAAACCTAATCTAATGTTTAGTCTCCATAAAAAGGCACATGATTAATGATTTACAAGCAACTTATGGAGAAATCATTTTCATGCCAAGTCCGTATTTTCCTTATTTCAGGACTGAGATAAATGGAATAGTAACAAACTGTCAGGGCTGAATATCTTAGGAGAGTTCCTCACACCCATTGTTCTTACTCCCCAAATTTACACCTGACTTCCATGTTACTCTACTTTCACTGGCCATCTCAGCCTAACATATGCCTGAATTTCAAAATATTTATGTATTTAGTAAAGAGCAGCTAAAGGTACAAGTGGAGATACCCACCAGATTCATCATGATAGTTCACAGCCTCTGTCTCCATCCAGGCATTATCAGTGTTACGAGGGTCATCCACATATCCTCTGTACACCTAAGCAGTGAACAAACAGAACTAGTTCAATGTCACAACATGAAATGCACAACGTAAAATCATTAAGAAGCTTTTTCCTCAGATACACTAGCCCAATTATTCAATATCACATTCAATTTCATGGACCATAAAAACCTGAGCGTTCCAGCTCATTCTTTGAACTAGAGCTACATTTTTTCCAACTTCAAGTAGCTCAAAGTCACATGGATAGCTCACAAAGCAACCACAGAAGACAAAAAGCTTACCACAAAGGGTTCCTGGCTGAACAGCCTGTGTAGTTGCTTTTCCAATTCTTCTTTTTCTTTAGGTGATTTTTGTAAGGAATTCAGGGCCTCCTCACCAAATTCTCGCTTAAGTGTAGTGCTAATCTTCTCTCCTGGATCTACCATCCCCTTAAAAAAAAAAAAAAAAAAAAAGGTGAGTATCCCTCAGATGCCATTTATTATTCCTTTTGACTTGCACTTAGTCTACTACATCCATCTACATTATACCCAAAATTTAAAATTCATGCGTCAAGAGCAAGCATATACATCATTCAGAAACTGCAATGGATTAAATCATGTCTACATTAAGCAAAAAAAAAAATCAAAATACAAAAATACCATCTTGTAATGAAGAAACAGAAGAAAACATAACAATTGATGCTTTATTTAAACATTATAGCTTACAAAACATTTCCCATCATCTCTGCAACATTATGTCATTCATATAAGGCACAATTTTATCACATGCATACCAGCTACATTCTCACAACTAAAGAGAAGGAAGGGGAAAGTCTACAGTTGTAATATTTTTTCCTTACCCCTGGAATGGCCCACTCCCCACAATCTCTCCTCTTAATAGCTACAAACTGTAGAATGTTTTTGCCAGTAACTGGGTGAGCTATTTTATTGCCACTTCTATCCCTCTTCCACCTGCAGAAGATGACAAACAAGAAAATTATTTTCTACGTCTTGAAATTGAAGTCAAGTTGTGATCGGGGATATTAACAGCAAGAATCCTGCACTATTTGTTCTTACATAGCAAATGAAGCCAAGAAAATATGGTCTCATAGGGAAGACTGATGATAGCTGTCCTGGAAGAGCTAACTTGGAGGCAAATAACTTAATTTTTCACAACTCCACTAATAGTGTTTTCCTCTTTTTCCAAGTGCTGAACTCACAGAATCACAGAATCGTTTCGCTTGGAAGGGACCTCTGGAGATCATCTAGTCCAACCTCCCTGCTCAAGCAGGGTCACCTAGAACATATTGCCCAGGATCACATCCAGACGGGTTTTGAATAGCTCCAGCGAAGGAGACTCCACCACCTCTGTGTACATGCCTAGGTCAGCTATGTCAAATGTAGAAGGCTCACAACTGAAAGTCAGCAGAAATTACGACTAACTACCAAGCAGAAAAGCAACACGAGTGGAGAAGCAAACATCTGTGAAGATAAAGAGGTGGAGCCTCTGTTGATGAGCCTAAGATTTAACTTATAGCTGAATGGCAAGGTGGTTCTATACCTACCACTGCAACAACCAAACCCAAGACAGCACTGTAGCCAAAGCAGCAGGAACAGCCACCTTATTTTGGTAACCACGCTGCTAGCAGTAGCTATTTCTAATCAGTAGGCCCAGCACCTCTATCAAATGCAACTCTTACAGCGAAGGTTTACCTACTAACTTATTTTGCCTACCGTAAGATGAGAATAATTGTGCTCTCTTACGCTATAAGGAAATGCAAGTCTAGACTGCAACTTATGAACCACTCAGCACCAAACGAAACCGACAAATATCTATCACAGGGTACTCTGCAAAGGATTTAAAAGATCTGCTATAATTAAAGCAAAAAGGTATCTGAACGAAAAGAAAAATAATCTAAGCATTTATTTTCCTTTAAAGGAAACAAAGCAGCAGCAGTACTGGGAAGTCCCAGAAACAGAAAAATTAACATGCATTAAGATATTTTTTTTTTTAATAACATGGCTGTATCTTCAGTATGGTACTTCCTAGCTTGTACCTTTGCTACCTAAGCAATTTCAACTGCATTTTTTTTGTAGTATATTTATACGGATTTTGAAGGCAAAAGCATCAAAAAGATAACATGCACTTTGACCTAAACAAAAAATAGTCGATCCAAATCCAGCCTACTCCTGTATCCTCAGTATTTCCAATGCAGTCAAGGCACACTGTTTGTTCTGAAAATGAGTCATTAATAGATAAAAAAACTAATTCCTGTAATCTTGGATAAACTATTTTTGATGCTTTGTGTAAAGCCTTTTGGCATGTAGCACATCCACAGGAAAATATCATATAACCCTTCAAATTTTTACATTCATTACTAAAGATTTTATTTGTATAGTTTATTCCTGTCAAGTTACAATTTCTGAATTCCATTTTTTTTTTTAAATCAGCTTCTTCAACATTTCAGAAGGGATGGGTTGGCATGAATTAAGTTCATCCTCTTTCCCAGAGACAAAAAATAAAAGTCTAGGAAATGGATTTTCCACCTGTCTATGTATCTATCCATAGATACATATGGGCTTATGGGTAAACACACACAACGTAAAAATCTATGTGACAAGTAAAATCCTGTTCACAGATGCATAGAAAAACTGAGCTGTGTACTTTTCTCTTCTGTTTCCTACGACCTTTGAGTCGTCTGTCCCTTACCTAGTTATAATCGGATCAGCAGCATGATTTGGTCCCCAACGTCCTAACAATCCTCTGCCTATGAGACCAGTCCTTCCTGCAGGATTTCTGAAATAAAAAGTGGCATATTGTTAAAGAATCTATTTCCCCATATGCATTTGCAAACATTCTAAAAAAGCAGCTTTGCTGAAGCATAAACTGAATTATTAGAAGGACAGCAACATATACATGCACTGCCAACACACCACTTTGAGGAACAGGAGAAAGCAAGCGAGCACGAGAACGAACAAGTGAGGAAGGTGCTTTTCCCTCTAACAACCTCTATGTTTCACAGTACAATGAAAGAACAAGTGCAAGACTGCTTTGTAAATTCCCACATCTGTCTTGTAAGGCTCCTGATCACGCATTATTCTCATTGTTCATATAAAACCTCATATGAGTATTAACGTAAGGTAGTTCTCAGGTCGCAAGACCACAGACCCACAGAACGTTTAGTTATCTACAAATCACAGAAAAACAAATTAGGTAAGATTATGCATCTGTGTTACATCAGCATCTGTCAGCTGGAGGAAACTCTGTTCTGCTCCAGTACAGTACGCGTGAGTGGTACAAGGGCTGGGTCAAACATCTAGTCAGGTTGGCAAAGCACAACTTAACCAACCTATCCTACCGTAACAGGGTTATACCTCTCTCCTCTTTCAGGAGTTGCAGCACAACTGCTGTATTATCTAGAAACCTTTTAACACCTCTCTGCTGCAGACTTCTCCCAGAAAGATTTTGCTGGTTTGGAAGTATCACTTTCCCTGTCTCTAGGGGAGACCACCTTAATGTTGCTCTAGCAGGTAGCAACTACCAAAACTGATACAGACCATCAGCAGATAGCTCTAGAACTGCATCACTAAAATGTACGTGTAAGCGAAATCACTCACCGGGGCCTCCCGTTTTCAACCACATACAAGCCATTCAGACTCTTTCTCTCTACTTCTCCATCTCTCTCATTAAATTTGGGAGAAAAATTTTTATCGCTGTGTAAAAAAAATAATTTAATAGAGATAAGTTATTAAATGTAACACCCCTGTGTCCCCCTAAAGCTCAAAGGCCAACCAGATCTGCAACAACCACCATTTCGCAAATGGTGAGTTTTTCCTAGAGTTTAAGTGACAGGCTCTCCTTCTCTTCCATTGTAAGGTGTCCACATCTACTGACTACAGTCTCTCTCAATAATTAAATCTGCAGGCATATAAACGCCCCTGCTCTAACGTTATAACACATCTTTTCTCCACACTTTCACTTATACAAGCGTTTCAAAGGTGTTCTGTTAAGACTAAAGAATATAAAAGGATTTCATCCATCTGGCAAAGCTAAAAATTTCACCAATTTAACAAATTAACTATTTTTTTGAAAACATTTACAGAAACAAACACTTGAGGTTCTGAGAAATTTATTAATGCAATTCTACTGAGCAGACTGGCAGTGTTAGGTATGATCTATCAAAGCTACAAGCTGCCACTGAATCAATGGCTTCCAAAATGAGTTCAGTGGTCATCTCCCATTTGCACCTTTGAAAACGAGAGAGCATGTTTGTGGAGGCAGGCATCTGTCAAGGTAAGCATATTTTCTCTTCCCAAAATCATTTCCTAAACCATCACAGCTTTCACGCTACTGACTAACTTTATTCACACAGTTAGTTTGAGAAATTACACTAATACCTAAAAACTGACTCTGCATTTTCAATTATTATGAATGTTATCAAGTAAGAGGATACCTGACACTTTCCCCACTATGCCTTGGCAGAAGGTAGCTAGCTGTGAAAATCATAGAGAACAGAGTACCTTGTAATCAATAGAATCCTAAGCCCAATTAATACCAAATGCACACCTATGCTGACACAGCAATGGGAAATAAGGAAGATAAGGCTGAAACACTGAGTGCCATTATCTTCTGATTTTTTTTTTTTTATATATAGCTGTGCATACACATGAATTACCACTTAATATGATCAGAAGTTACATTAGTTTCATCTAACCTTCTAGAAAAGTAGCATATAGCATTCCCTGAGAAACAGAATATATACACATAATTAATTGAAGTGTGCACACATACATTTGCAGCTTTTGCATTTCTTGAGTCAGACTGCTCAACTCAAGAACCACAGTTCTGCATTAGTTCTTTCTTAAACATTCAAACTATGAAAAATAAACATCCATATTATGAAAACTTTCTCCCAACTTCGACATGACAACATTATTCTACCTCTGGTGTCAAGAGTGATTCAAAAAACAAAACAGAAAGAAACTATGAGAACGTTCCTTTCCCATAACCCTCTAGAAAAGCAGCATTACATAGGATAAATAAGTGTTCATTATTCCAATAACAGTACTGTATTTTACATAAGTCAACAATTCATTAAAATAAGATCTCAAAGACTTCCAGAGCTGAGCCAAACTATTCAGTTCTCTGACAAGCATTTCCAGGTCCTTGCTTTCAGAAATCATTGTAGAAGGACATGTCATTTAAGCTGATGATCTAATTGAGTTTTTAATTATCTCCGTCTTCCCTTTACACAACAGAAAAGAGCTACCATTTCTGCTCACCTGATCTGGGGATCTGCCCACCTGGGCCCAGCCAAAACAGTGACTGCAGTGTACTCCACAGGATTATAATCTTTCCACTCAGTTAACCAGCCCACTTTTTCTTCTGGAACTTGGCTACGCTCAATATTTGATCCTGGATATGGGGAGGTGAGTGCTTTGCTGTGGTAAAACTGACTCACACCACAACTGTTAAACATTTTAACAGGGTGAAGATGGGACCAACAGGTTGGAGACAAGTTACTGAAAGAAAAAAAAACAAAGAAAAAAGCAACTCATGCATTAAGAATTAACCATGTTACTTAATTCCAAATCTCAACGTTAAATTACAAAAAGCAGAACAGATTGGCTTCAAAAAAAAAAAAAAACACTGAAGAAATATGTTATTGCTTCTTCTAGAAGGCACGCAAACATGTACGCAGGACCAAACTCTGAAATTCATCTGCAGCTAAGTGAAGCAGAGTTCTGCTAGATAGGCACAAGTGAGAAAAACTCAGTCAGTCGGTATTCTTTTTAGTACTGTGATCACAGTTATCATTGCTTAAAAGGTTCAGCTCAGAGATACCTACCATGAAATACCATTTGAAGACCTACTTCAGCATTAATTCTTCATGTAGGCATTTCATCAACAAACTGACAAAGCCTTACAAGCTCCCTTCTCTCACAGCTAAAGATAGGCCAGAGGCCCAGTAAAGCGCATGTATGAAACATCCAGAAAGGCCCAAGCAGGAGAACTTCACAGGTTGCTATGAGCACTGAACCATCATTTTGTGCTATACCAGGTACGACAGCACCACACAACACATACCTTGTTATTTCAATTACTTAAAACAAGGGTAGAACAGGACAACTTCTTCAGTGAAAGGGAAAAATCCTTGAAACTTCTAAGCAAGTTTGCATTGCCATGGGATTTTGGAGATCAAACAGCAATCAATAATGGAGTATATAAAAGTCATTTGGGCTACAGTGCCTGACAGCCAAGCTGTCTAAGAACTCTATAAACATTTCCTTCAGCATAAAAATCAGCCCTTCTATACCCAGAATAAGGTCCAAAGCTCAGCACAGGGCTACAATCTACAAGCAAATTTTAAAAAGCAAGATATTCGAGACCTCTTAGGGGGAAGGCATCTCTTCTAAATGAGTAAGGAGTCACCTCCAGCATGCAAGAAAAATTACCATTTCTGCAAAATATATACCAAAATTTCAACAGCTGGCAGCAACACGCACGTGCTGTCATGCTCACTGAGCACAGTGGTGAGGCACTGAAGAACACAATTCACTTCAGGAAGCATATTACCTTCACGAAATCTTCCTTTAATTGGGGGCAGGGGGGGAAGGATAGGGAATGTCTAATCCTGTATATGGTTGTATCCTCACTTGGCAGACTGGAATTTGTTACGCTGCTTAGAAAAAAAAAAAAAGTTACGTTTCTTTAGTTCTAAAGGAGGGTTTGCTTCGGTTTCTGCCAGGTCAAATGGCGGTCACTACACCCTGGGCTACCCCAGTACCTTGCCTACGCCTCGCGGGTCTCACTCGGCGAGCGTCCGCGAGGGGG